TAGAGGAATACTTCATTGGTGTAGCACTTGCCTACCATATGTGAGGCTGGGTTCAGTCCCTACCACTGAACCCCTCTTCCCCAAAAAAGTCAACTTAAGGATCATTCATAGCTGACTTGAACTCTTCATAATTGTCAATTCTGTGAAGGATAAAGCCAAACAAAAAACCTAGGTAACTGCTCTGGGTTAAAAGTGACAAAAAGTATGACAACTAAACACAGTGAATGATTTTTGAATAGATGTTGGTTATTAAAAATGTACTATTAAGACCTGGAGGCTTGGTTCAAGTGGTAGTAGAGCAAGTGCCAGGGCCTGAAGTTCAACTTCAATACTAACCCCCCCTCCTCCAAAAAAAGTGTTATTGGGGATGAGGACACAGCTCAAGTAGTGGAGCACTTTCCTAACATGCATCAAGCCTGGGGTCCCAGCACTGCAAAACAGAGCAAACCCAAAAAGCTAAAAAGTGTTATTGGGACAACTGGAGACATTTAAACCTGGCCTTTACATTATGCAGTAGCATCATATGTAGTTTCCTGAGTGTAGTTATGTAGGAACTTTCTACATGCTTATGCTGAAGTATTAATGTTTACAGATGAAGTCTGAAGCCTAATCTCATATGATTCAGCCATCTCTATCCAGAGATAAAGACATTGTGTAAAAAAAAAAAAAATCCTTGACCAGCACAGTGGCTCAAGTGGTAGAGTGCCTGCCTAGCAAGTGCAATCTGCAGTAACACATTAAAAACAAACGGGCAAAACCCAAAGAGCTGGGCGTGGTGCCTGTGTCTAGAATCCTAGAACTTGGGAGGGGGAGGCAGAGGAGAATTGCAAGTTAGAGGGCAGCTTGGGTACATGGAGAGTTCAGAGCTGGGTTACATAGTAATACCCTGTCTCAAAGCAACCACAAAACCCTCATAGAATCTCCAAAACTATTGAGATTAATAAATGAATCCAGTTAAGGTCACATCATCCAAATCGATACACACAATCTACTGTATTTTTATGTACTAGAAATGAAAAACTAAATGAAATTTAAATATGTATCATTTATAATTATATCAACAGCCACAAACTACTTAAGTCTAACAAACCTATGCTGGGGGACATGGCTCAAGTGTAGATCACTTGCTTAGCAAGTGTAAAGCCGCAAGTTCAAACCTCAGTACCGCCTCCATAAAAAAAAAAAAAAACAAATCTATATATATAGACACACACACAGATATGTATGTGTCTATATATATATGCTGAAGATTTGACTGGAGATAAGTACAAAATTCTCATGAAACAAATGCGATGTACCATATTTTTATATTGGAAGATAAAATATTAAGATGGCATTTCATCCCAAATTGATTTTTTTGTTCATTGCAATCTCAAAACCCAGAGTTTCAGATTTTTTTTTTGTCATACTGGGGTTTGAACTTGGAACCTCACACTTGCTAGGCAGGCATTTTATCACTTGAGCCACTAGCCAGCCCTTTTTGGGTTTTTTGATGTTTTTTTCCAGGTAGGGGCTCACAAACTATTTGCCTGGGACTGGTGTCTGAACCGCTCCTGATCTCTGCTGCCTGAGTAGCTAGGATTATAGGTGCGAGCCACCTGTGCTCAGCTTCAGAAATTTAAATGAAAAGAAATAAGCCCTTCTTCTGGAAATGTGTGAGATTTCTTGTGGAAAAGAAATAGAAATTGGCAAAGTATTGGAGAATAGTAATTCATTGTCAGAGTCGTTACTGTAAGCTGGAAGAGATGGTTTCACCAAAGCAGTGAACATATATACTTGTGTTTTCATAAAAATTTGCAGAAGAGTAAGAATAATAGTTTTCTAGTCAAGAACTGAGAATGATGAAATAGGAGAAAAGAAGAATTTTCACCAGATACTCCTTTGTACCTTTTGGGTTTTGTACATGTGAATGGATTACTTTCTCAAATTAGCAATTTGTTTTAAAAATCTTTCAAATTTAAAAAAATATTGTTGTTTAGATGTGAGAAATTGTGACTTCAGGGTCATATAATCTGTCTTAGAAAAATTGGATTTTTTTTTTTGACAGGTAGCTAGGATTACCGGCTCATAATCCTAGCTACTCAGGAGGCAGAGATCAGGAGGATCATGGTTCAAAGCCAGCACTGGGCGAATAGTTCACAAGACCCTATCTCGAAAAAACCTGTTCTCCTCCCTCCCCCCCTAGAAAAAAAAAGGGCTGCCGGTAAGAGCACCTGTCTAGCAGTCTTGAGGCTCTGAGTTCAAACCCCAGTGCCACCAAACAGACAAACAAAATACCCGCATAAAAAGGGCTGGTGGAATGGCTCAGGTGGTAGAACACTTGCCGAGCAAGTGTGAAGCCCTGAGTTTAAACCTCAATATTGCTGAAAAAAAAAAGAAAGAAAGAAAAATTGAAATTTTTTGAGATAGGGTCTTGCTTTACAGTCCCAACTGACCTTGAACTTGCAATCCTCCTGTCTTTGCTGTCCAAGAGCTGGGATTACAGGCATGTATCAGCATCCCCAGTGGGATTTTTTTTTTAAACCTGATCATGGTGTAGACTTAGGATTTTGCTTCTATGTAAATTGTTTGTTCTTAATTAGAATGATAGTTTTATCCAAAAAGTAGGAAAATTTGCTTTTGAAGGTTTTGGGTTTAACTGTTTTTTTGAGGCAAGTCTTGAACTCACAGTCTTCCTACCTCAGCCTCTGGAGTGCTGGGATTATAGGCAGGCATGCACCACAACTGTCTTGAGGCATCTCTTATGAACTCTAATTGCTACCTTAAAATTTATCTTAATGATTTCCATGTTCATTTTCATTTTTTAACCAACGCAGAAGTTTTGTTTTGCTGATATAAAGAGGTAAATGTATCTTTGTGTGTCTAAGTGAATTTTGTGTGTGTGTATATATATACATATATATATATATGTATATATATTGTTTTTAGTGGTCACATGTATTCTCTTTTGCTATTCTGAAGGTTAAGTTTTTATTTTTTTTTGGTGGTACTGGGGTTTGAACTCAGGGCCTCACGCTTGCTAGGTAAGTGCTCTACCACTTGAGCCACTCTGCCAGCCCCGCTATTCTGAAGGTTAAATAACCTCTTTGAAGAGGCTGGCTAAGCAAAGATTTTTTGCTATTTTAGAGTAAAGTAGTTGATTTGAATTATTCTATCCCTGGCCTCTGAGCATGTCTTAATTGACTAGTATTTCTTTCTTATTACTATTGTTATTGCTATTATTATTAGCTAGTATTTCTGGTAGGAGCTAACGGGGAATTTAAATGAAAAGACAAAGTCAAAAAAAAAGAAAAAAAAAAGAACAAAATCAGGCCTGCTTTAAACTTTTTGTTTTTAATTTGGGCCTTTCCCCTAAGTAACTTAACAACAAAAAAAAGCTGAAATTGATGTGTTTTGCTTTCTTGCCTCTTCTTGTTGACTTTTTGGAAGCAGAAGAAGGATTATATTGTTTTACTTATGGTGTTGTATGTACTAGACAAGAATAGATGGTTTCTATAAATTGTTCTTTTTTCCTTTTATTTCAGTTTTATTGATCTTTTTGATGACCTGGGTCAATTAAAAATTCTTTTCTGTTGAGCATTTTGAGATTTATATCTAATAGTCCTGAAAGGCAGAAGTTTAGGCATTTTTTATGTGTAGTTAATGAAGGAAAAGGATAAATATGTAGAAATCTTGTTTTTTCCTAGCTCGCTGAAAGAGAGAACTATTGCTCTATAAAGAGTGACCAGGCCATTGAATAGGGAATTTTCTTCAAAGTGACCAAGGAGGTTTTCAGTTAGCCATTGGGACTCCTATTTATAGGTCAAGTTCTTTTCAGCTTGTCCTTTTTCTTCAAAATTATTTTGGTTAATCCTTGCCCTTTGCTCTTCTCTGTATATGTCATTTTTCAATCAGTTTATCAAATCCTATAGAAATTCTTTTGGGACTTTTGTTGGAATTACATTGAACTTATAGTTATTTTGGGAAGAATTAACATCTTTATAATACATGAAGTCTTCCTCTATGATGTTTTAATCTGTCAGACTCAAATCTAATTCTATAATCTTCATAGAAGGCTATATAACTTTTGTTAAGTTTATTTTATATTTTCTATTATTGCAATTGTATAGAAATATAATGACTTTTATATATTGGGTTTGTATTTAACAACCTTGCTAAACTTTCTATTAATTCTAATTTGTGTGTGTTATTGGGGATTCACCTCGTACATGCTAGGAATATAAGCTGTTACTGAGCTGTATCCCTAATCCAGCTCTCTCTTTCATTTGATGTACAGGAGTTTGAATTTAGGACTTCACACTTGCTAAGCACCATTCTATAACTTGAGCCATACCTCCAGCCCCAACTTTAATCCTTTCTTATTTTGAGACAGAGTCATCAGTAAGTTGCTCAGGCTGACCTGGAACTTGATAACCCTCCCACTTCAGCCTCTTTGAGTAGCTGGGATTATAGGCATCTACTGTATCATCTATCTGTATTCATTCTAACAGTTAACTTCTCTTTGGTTTTCTATGCAGAAACAAAATTATTTGTAAATAGTCATTTCTTTATTTTCTCCTTTCCAATTCATTTATATTATTTACTTTCATTCTCCTACTGAGCTGGGAAGGTAGTATAGAATAAGAAGTATTAATAGAAGGCATAGTTTTCTTTTTTGCTTCCTTCAGAGTTAGTAAATATACTTCTGTTTATTTGTGGTGCTGAGGATCAAACCCAGGATCTTATTCATGTTAGGCAAATGTTCTTCTTCTGAGATATATCCCCATCCCAGAGCATAGTTTTCTTATTCCTTCATTTTAAAGTGATTGATAGTCTTTATCAGGTCAAGGGAGTTCTCTTTTTTCCCTAGTTTGCTAGGAAGTTTTTAATTATGAATTTTTGAATATTATCAAATGCTTTTCTGTCTCTGGAAATGAACATGTAGATTTTCTCCTTTAATTTGTTTATGTGATACTATTAGCTTAGAAGTACTTCGTATATCTTCTATTCCCTTCTCCCAGGTGATTTGTGGAGCTATGATTTCTTCAGTGGTGAGTTTGTGGTATCACCTGAACCAGATACAAGCGTCCATACTCTTGACCCTCAGAAGCACAAGTATATTATCTTGGGGAGTGATGGACTGTGGAATATGATTCCACCTCAAGATGCCATCTCAATGTGCCAAGACCATGAGGAGAAAAAGTACTTGATGGTGAGAAGTGACTTAATAATTTGATATTGTTGTTTAAACAGTGCCTGATACTTTACTCAGTTGTCTTGAATATGAACTAAGAATGTTCACCTCATATATCATTAATGCTTCAAGCCTCAACCATTTCCACTTGTTCACCAACCTCTGTCCATACCCCTGGCAGTCACTAATCTTTTCTGTTTCTGTGTATTTTCCTGTTTTGGATATTTCGTGTAAATGTGGTAGCAGCCTTTTATATCTAGCTTCTTTCAGTTGGCATTATGTTTTTAAGGTTCATCCATGTTGCTGCTTGTATCCGTACTTCATTCATTTTTCTGACTGAATAATTTTCTGTTGATATAGTTTATCCATTCATCAATTGACCAATATTTGGGTTGTGCCCACTTTTTGGCTCAGTGACCACTGCCATGAAAATTCTTGGATGAGTTTTGTGTGGACATGTCTTCAATTCTCTTGGGTGTATACCTAAGACTGGATTTGCTGGGTGTCATAGGAACTATGTCTCTTATCCTTTTTAAATAAATTACAAACCAGCATAGGAAAAATCCTTTCTATAGTTAGGATTTTTTATTAGTGACCTTCAAGGGTAAAAAGTTTTGGTAGAGTTTGGAGGGCAGTAAGTAGCTTGTAAGTGATGATAGAATAGTTTCTGAACCTAGGAAATAGATGTGAACCCAGGAAGTAGATGTAGAGAGTGTTCAAGAACTTGGGGGAGCTTGATATTGCTGCTAGCTTATAAAGATCTTTAAGATGGGAACAATGGTAAAGTTATATTTTGAGGTGAAAAAGAGGAAGATTGATAGAACCTTTATAAAATTGCCTTCATTCATTCACTCAATTAACAATTAGGTCTAAGGGATGCAAAGGAAATAGAATATAGTCCTTGTATAACACCATATTATTACATATAGAATACTGAGAGTGAAGCTCAGTGGAGGCCCTGGATACACTCCCCAGTACCAAAAACAAAAGACACATAGAATATATCTATGTGATATATAAACAAGTATCATTTCTATTAGATTGTGAGTTCTTTAAATGTAAGAGTTGTCTCAACCCATTTCTTAACTGGAGTTCTAGTATTCTGCATTTGGTTAGTGATTGTCAGATATCAGAGAAAAGATTAACTAACATAAAGACTATTTTGTCTAATGGATTTAAAATTTTTTTACCAATCTGAGAAAAATCATTTCAGTAACATGAGGACAAAAGCCAGTTTGTAGTGGAATAGGGGCACCTACTTGTGAACACCAAAGAATTTTCAGAATGAGAATAAAAGAAAGCATCTATATAACAATAATTAGAACAAGTCTTACAAGAACTGGGAAGGACAGAAGATAGAAACTTGGGAAATTTCATGAAAGGGAGTGATACTTGAGCAAGTTTTAAAGGTGGGATTGAGTTGGAAGTGGTGGTACATGCCTGTAATCCCAGCATTCGGGAGGCACAGACAGGAGGATAGAGAGGTAGAGGCCATAGGAAGGCTCTGTCTCAAAAACCAAAACAAAAAGGTGGAATTGAATTTGCCAGGCTGTCGAGCATGGGAGAAGAAAAAAACTTTCTGCACAAAGGAAATAGAATGTAAAAGTCAAGGAGAGATGAATATAACGTAGGTTTTAGGTTTTACACGTAGGTTGGTGTACCTTGAAGTGAACAGAAAGAGGCAAAAAGGTCTGTTTTTTTTTTTTTTAATGGTACTGGGGCTTGAACTCAGGGAGTATACCTTGAGCACTCCAATAGCCCTTTTTTGTGATGGGTTTCGTCAAGATAGGGTCTCGAGAACTGTTTGCCTGGGCTGGCTTTGAACTGCAATCCTCCTGCTCTCTGCCTCCTCAGTAGCTAGGAAGGATTCCAGGTGTGAGCCACTGGCGTCTGGTGGAGTTACATCTTTATAGTCAGACAGTGGAGAGCTACTGAATACATGAGTGGTAGAATTTATAACACTTGTGTTTTTAAGGATGTAGAAATCAACACCCAAATTTTCTGATCCTGGTGACAAGTAGAGCTATTTTCTTTTCTTTTTTCCTTTTATTTTTTCACTCCCTGAGCTATTTTCAAGAAGAAGCAAATTATTTGGGGGCAGAGGAGGTAATTATTTCACATATAGACATGTTGACTTTAAGATACCTGTAGTTCATGTAGATATCATCAGTAGGCAGTTACAAATAGTTGAGAGAAAAACCTTGAAACACTAATTTGAAAGTTAATAAGAGTCAGGTAAATTAGTGGTAATATATGCGATCACTTAGGGAGACTGTGTGATAGAAGAAAGTACAATATTGGGGGACACAGGATTATGATCTGAGGGAACAATGCAGATAAGGAATATTATATACTTATATATGTATAAAAGTATATGTATATATAATTGATATATTTTATGTGAATTTCCTGGGGAGATGGAAAAGAAATGTCTACATCAAACTGGACAACAGCCCAAAAAATTACTTGTACAAGTCCAGCTTGATGAGTAAAATCAGTTTAATAGAGGTTATTTACAGGGTGGTAGAAGACTACAGAGGATTGCGTTCACCCTGAGTTGCCAAAGCCATTACCATTAGGCCTGCCAAGCTGCTTCTTCCTTTTTTTTCCGCCCTAGTACTGGGCTTTGAACTCAGAGCCTTGTGCTTGGTAGGGTAGGCACTGTGTCATTTGAGCCATGCCTATAGCATCCAAGCTTCTGTTTTACCCAGCTCTAAGTCTATAGCAAAATTAATGCAAACCTGGACTTTGAGTGCCAACTAGTGTCAAAACAGCAGAATTGATCAGATAACATAAAGCACAGACAAAACCAGACTTGGAAAAGTTACATGTTTATGTGCCCTTAGTTCTTGCCCTCGTCAGGGATTCTGCTGGTCTTTGCAAACACTGTCCAACTGTGGCTTTGTTTCACTGCACTCTGGCACATATAACAGCTAAATGGTAGCTAGGAGTAACATGGAGTTACTCTGGCTAGGATTCAGAGGACTAGTCTCTCTATGATATATATTTACAGAGAGAGTTTATATTTCTTTGTCTCAGAATTTTTACTGTATTCTCTCTCTTTTTTGTGGTCCTGGGGTTTAAACTGAAGGCCTCATGCTTGCTAGGCAGGAACTCTACCCCTTGAGCCACACCATCAGTGCTTCTTTTTCTTTTGGCAGTGCTGGGGATTAAACTCAGGGCCTTGCACATGTTAAGCAAGAGCTCTCCTATTGAGCTATATCCCCAGCCCTTGATAATTATTATGTTGGGTCACTGGTTTGGATTTGCAGAATCGATTTGTCGCCCTTTCTCTATGTTGCCAAGACTCACTCTGAACTTGTAGGTTCACGGGTCTTTCTGCCTCAGCCTCCTGAGTTAATGGAATTACTGGTGGGTGCCAACATACCAGGCTCAGAAGCTCTTATTTTAGGAAGAAATTACCCTTTGCAGTGAGTTTTTCCACCATGCCCAGTTGTCTTATTTGTGAGTTATGTTTATCTGTAGTAATTTGATCTTTATTCCCTTTTAAGGTAACTTTTATATTTTCCCAATTAATGTTACAGCAAAGACAAAATTTCTTTTCTTTCTTTCTTTCTTTTTTTTTTTTGATGGTACTGGAGTTTGAACTCAGGGCCTATTCTACCAGCCCTTTTTTGTGAATAGGGTCTCCCCAAACTATTTGCCAGGACTGGTTTCAAACTGCAATCCTCCTGATTTCTGCCTCCAGAGTAGCTAGGATTATAGGCCTGAGCCATCAGCACCCGGCTAAGATGAAGTTTCTTGAGTAAAGAGATAAAAATACACGAGAAAAAAATTTTGTTGTTTATTTTGAGACAGGGTTTCACTGTGTGTATAGCTCAGGTTAACCTCAAATTTGAATCCTCTTGCCTCAGCTTCTTGAGTGCTGGGATTTATAGACGTCTGCTATCATGCCCGGCGGTCCACAGGTGAAATTTAATTCAACCACAGGATAAGACTTTGTTTCATTATTATTATTTGAAATTTAGAAATTTACTATATGCCATTTATGGGGATCTTGGCTAATGTTTAAGCATTTAGGAGCTTTCTTTATTTAGGCCACTTTTAATACATAGTTTTTAATTTGATACAGATATTGTGGCAACTAAATTGAGTTAATGTCCTTTTACTTGTTCTTTTAAATATAGGATGAGCATGGACAATCTTGTGCCAAAATGCTTGTGAATCGAGCACTAGGCCGCTGGAGGCAGCGTATGCTCCGTGCAGATAACACTAGTGCCATAGTAATCTGCATCTCTTCGGGAGTGGATAATCAGGGAAACTTCACCAATGAAGATGAGCTATATCTCAACCTGACTGATAGCCCTTCTTACAATAGTCAAGAAACCTGTGTGATGACTCCTTCCCCATGTTCTACACCACCAGTCAAGGTATGAAGTTCTATAGTTTTAAAGTTATTTTCTAATAGTTAGAATGTCTTTGTGTAATGTTGCCCCAAAATAATCCTGATAAAACAAATTTTAGATTTGAACTAAGTTCAAGAAAGTGATGATCTTTCTTCTCTGTCAGAAACATCCTCCTCATCTCTGTTATCTCTTATTTGTTATCTCTATCAGTATTCGTTTCTCTCTTTGTGGTGATGAGGATTAGACCAGGATCTTCAAAAATGCTAGCCAAGCACCCTGCCACTGAGCCACACCCCCAGCCCAGAAAGCTGTCTTTAAAGTAGTACTGATCTGAGAGGCAGCTGTGTGCATATAGCACCTAATAGAAATGTCATTGTGCTCCCTGAAAAATACTTATGTTTGGAATTTACTGATTCCTTTCTAATACTATAAACATTTTTTAAGGTTTAGAAATTCGTGAGTTACTTTTATATATACTACTTCCTGTGAACTTTATAATGCAGAATAATAATGATATTATAGTTCCATTTGATCAGTCGTAAGACTTGAACAATTAAGTAGTCTGAACAAGATCATACAGAATCAAGATTGACCTGGACCTTAGGACCAGACCTTCACCTGGTTATGTCCTAGGCTAGCCTGGAACCCCTGATCCTCCTGTCTCAGCCTCTGTAGTGCTGGGATTACAGTTGTGTTCTACCATGCGTGGCTGTTCCTATTTTTTATGCAAGTTTAAGATATGCTGAGAAGCAAATTTAAATGACTACTATGTTTTCATTTTTCTGATTTATTTAGAATTCAAATACTTTCTTGTTTTCATCCTGCTTTTTCCTACCCAAAATTAGTAATGTTGATAACTGCTTTAAAGTAAAGCATAGCATTGCTTCTGACTTTTGGCTAAGATCAAGTGCAGTATCTGGTGGGTTTTTTTTTTTTCTTAAGTAGTACTGGGGTTTGAACTCAGGGCCTCTTACTTGCTAGGCAGGCACTCTACTGCTTGGGCCACTCCATCAACCCTTTTTTGTGGTGGGTAGTTTTTTTTTTGGTCTGGGGCTTTCTTGAACCTCAACCCTCCTGATCTTGCCAACGGCGTAGCAAGGATTATAGGCATGAGCCACCTAGTGGTGGTTCTACTCTTCTCAGTTTAATATCTGATATGCTTTCTAACCAAGGACAATGTATAAAATGGATTTTGGAGCAGGGAGATAAAATCTACACATTGACCAGTCAAGGACTGGTGTACCAAATAAGCAGACAAACAGAAAAAGACAAAGCATGACTACCTTGGCCTCTGAGAATGTAGATGGATCATTAAAATGGAAAATAGCAGCAGAATTTTATATCAGTTCAACCAGTTTTTAAAGGGCCAAAGAACTTTTAATTTGGATATTGCAATATTATGGTAGTACTTGGAAGTTTATTATTACTCTTTTCCTTTCCCTTCACATATAAGTGACAAAATATACATATGATAAAATGAGGTGGAATCTTTTTCATTTAGGAATTGCTGAAGCATTATTTTATACTAATTTTCTTAAAGAAGTTTCTTGTCAAAGCTTTCTTTTCAAGCCAGGCAGGGTGGTGCACACCTGTAATCCTGGCACTTCAGCAGCTAAAGCAGGAGGATCATGGATTCAAGGCCAGTCAAGGATAGTAGAACTATCTGAAAAACAAACAAAAACAGCTACTACCACCAGTAACGGCCATAGTCCTAGCTACTTGGAGGCTGAGATTGAGAGGATCATGGTCAAGGTTTATTATATACTCTTTTCTTTCCCTTCACATATAAGTGACAAATATACATATGATAAAATGAGGTGGAATCTTTTTCATTTAGGAATTGCTGAAGCATATATTTATACTAATATTTCTTAAAGAATTCTTGTCAAAGCTTTTCTTTTCAAGCCAGGCAGGGTGGTGCACACCTGTAATCCTGGCACTTCAGCAGCTAAAGCAGGAGGATCATGGATTCAAGGCCAGTCAAGGATAGTAGAACTATCTGAAAAACCAAACAAAAACAGCTACTACCACCCAGTAACGGCCATAGTCCTAGCTACTTGGGAGGCTGAGATTGAGAGGATCATGGTTCAAGGCTGGCCTGGGCAAATAGTTTCAGGAGACCCCATCTCCAAAATAACCAAGCAAAATGGACTGAAGTGTGGCTTAAGCGGTAGACTTTGAACTTTGTAAGTTCAAAGTCCTGAGTTCAAACCCCAGTCCCACTTTAAAAAAAAAAAAAAAAACAGCAAAAGAGAAATTACAGTAACTCTGAAATTGTTCTGTTGTTTTTCTTTTATAATTCCAGCTAGCCAGGTCCCTGTGACTCCTGTCTGTAATCCTAGCTACTCAGAGGTAGAGATTAGCGAGGATTGAGTTTTGAAGCAGCCTCATGATTGCTATGCAGGAGCTGTCCTACTAGAGCCACTCTGCCATCCTTTTTTTTCCAGCAAACTCAGTTTATTTTTTTAAGAACGAAGATATTTATAAAAGCTGAGCAAGGACTTGCTTCATTAAATTCTTTTCTTGTGATTATAGCTGATTTTGGACTCTAAAATTGTGGAACATCAAGTGCTCATGAAGACTGTGTTGAGTATTTTTGAGACTGGGTCTCTCAAACTATTTGCTCGGGTTGGCCTTGAACCCAGATCTCCTGATCTCTCCCTCTCCTGTAGTAGGCTTACAGGCATGAATCACCAGCACCCAGATGATACTATTCTTTTATATTTATTGCACACAAGTACCTTGTGTTTCTGCCCAACATTTGATGTTAAGACAGACAACAATAATCAGGCTTCCATTAAACCATGCCATGATGATAAGTATGAACCATGACTCCAGAAAGAGAGTAATATTTTCATGGAAAGGAAAGCAATGTATTTGGGACAGTACTAAATTTGGAACAGGAGTTTCTGTGTCATTTATTTTCTCATCTCTACTTTCAAATGGCCTATGGTCATGTTTTTCAATAAGCTGTTTATGTCTATATTTACATTAAAATACCTTTCTAAAAGTATACAAGATTCTGCAAGCTGTGAGCTTCTCTTTTCTAGGTACATTGAAGGAAACAGTCCACTATTAAGTATACTTTATTTTTTTTCCATCTTTTAAGTCCTTGGAGGGAACAGCATTCTTGGAAGTACTGCAATATCAAGTCGATGCATGGGGTGGATGCAGCATTACTCTAGCTCCAAAAATGTATTCAATATATTGTCCTCAGATATTAAACTGATGGCTCCTATGGAAAAATACATATTGTGCGTAAAATAATTAGATCTAGTTCAGCAGCATATATATTATCACATGCACATAAAATTAAAATGTGAATAGAATATAACACATTTGATCTTCATGATTGAGTACAGAGTGAATGGGTAGTGAATGGGTGCTTACGGCTATTTTTAGGGTCTGTTTTGAAGTCATGTGCATTAAAGAATTTTATTTTGGTTCCCATCAGTAGTCAGGAAATAATTGTGATCATATAAACTTTAACCCATCTGAATACATTGCTTTATCTATTAGTCTGAAGGCAGAGGGATCTGTTACTTTTGTATTGTCTTCTCACCAGGTTATCCCCATAGAGCCTTGCCCATAGTTCAGTAAACACGTGGTGAATGAATGAGTGATGCATGTTTTTGCCATCTTAATAACTTCATAAAAGCCCAATATTATACGTCATGGGTTTATTGAGTTCTAGAATAAACTGTTTACTTGTTTTATCTTTTTTTTTTTCCAGTCACTGGAAGAGGATTCATGGCCAAGGTTGAACCCTAAGGACCATTTACCTGCCCTTGTTCGTAGTAATGCCTTCTCAGAGAATTTTTTAGAGGTATCAGCTGAGATAGCTCGAGGAAATATCCAGGCTGTAGTCATACCCTCAAAAGATCCAGAGGCGCTTGAAGAAAACTGCACCAAAGCCCTGACTTTAAGGATACATGATTCTTTGAATAATACCCTGTCTGTTGGCCTTGTGCCTACCAATTCAACAAATACTATTGTGGACCAAAAAAACGTAAAGATGTCAACTCCTGGTCAGATGAAAGCCCAAGAAGTTGAAAGAACCCCTCCAGCAAACTTTAAAAAGGACATTAGAAGTATCTAACTCTGGTCCCTTATGAAGAAACATAGACGAAATGGCTTAAGTCGAAGTAGTGGTACTCAGCCTACAAGCCTCCCTACAACGTCACAGCGAAAGAACTCTGTTAACTTACCATGAGACGCAGACTTAGAGGCCAGAGGAAACTTGGAAATCCATTACTACAGCAGCACAGGAAAACTGTTTGTGTTTGCTAAAGTATATCTGGGAAACGGGGTTTTTCCCACACCTAGGATATGAGGGCTTTTTTAAATTTGGTGCCGAAGTTGAACTTTTTTATAAGAGGACAAAATAAAGAGTACGCAGTTTGACTTTTTGGAATTTAACAGTTTATTCTGGCCTTGTACTTGCTTGTAATAAATGTGAATTTTGTAGATGTAGGGTATAAGTTGCTGTAAATGTGTATAAATTTGTATCCTTCACACAGACTCAGTCTCCAACTCTAATACACAGTCATTGTGACAACAGGGCTAAATGTTTTCAAAAATCAAAAAGAATCTATTAAATTTTAGAAACACATTAAAACTTTTTAAAATGCTTATTGAGAATTTATATAAGCCACTTGTGATGAAAACAATACAACTTTTTAAAGTGAATTATTAAGTAAACTGGAAAAGTGATGTATTTTCATAGTGACCTGTGCTCCACTAAATGGTTCCTAGGAACTACTAGTGTCTTTTAAAAATTACTTTTTCTCATTTCATAATTGAGAATAAATATTTTATAGGAGAAGTGTTGAGTCATGCTAAGTAGCTAGTCTCCTTTCCTAACTAAAATACTATGCACTGTCTCTTTCTTTAGTAGAATTTTCCTAAAACATTAATCATCAGATGTACTCACTGAATCTTTGGCATAGAAGGATGTGTGTTTGCCTAAACAGTGCCCTTCTTCATCATCCCAGATCAATGGCATTATTAGTTTGTTAAACTAGTTACCTTCTTATGTCTGCTTAAAATAGGTGAAGTTTTTCTTGTTATTTCAATAACAGATGGTGCTGCTAATTCCCAACATTTCTTAAATTATTTATTGACAGTTTTCATTGATTATATATGTTTTGTTCATCTAATAAATCAGTGAACTGTTTCATTTTGAAAGAGTCTGTTGTGTTATAATCATGCTTTGGAATAATTTAATTATATAACTATTCATTGTGCATGTTGCATTGATTTTTCAATATAGAATACATAGAAACATGTTAAATATCCAACAAGAATATGATTAAGTCAGTTATATAGCTTATATGTATTTGCTGAAACATTGTTTTTACTTTGGTAATGTAGAAAAAAAAAGGAACTAATACTAAAACACAGTATATATGATTTTGGTGTGATTTGTATTCTATAATAAGAAAAAATCTAAATGTATTAATTTGGAATAAGAAGTCTCATTGATAAATTAATGAATTAATTCATGGGCTAGAGTATAGCTCAGTGGTAGAGTCCTGCACATCATGGCAGAGGCTCTGGGTTTCAGTCCCCAGCCCACACAAATCTGATTTATGCATTCTGCATTCATTGTGCCTAATATGCTGTGCAGTGGAAGCATACGCATTTTTCTACAGAAAGGCTGAGAGCCAGTGATCAAGGAAAAATGCTATTTGTGGCCTTTTTTTTTGGGCGGTACTGGGGCTTGACTCAGGGCCTACTGTTTGTTAGGCAGGCACTCTACCCACTTATCCACTCCACCAGCCCTGTTTTTGTGTGTGTGTGTGTGTGTGTGTGTGTGTGTGTGTGTTTTGTGTTGGGTATTTTCAAGATAGGGTCTTGTACACTATCTGCCTGGGCTGGCTTTGAACTTTGATCTCCTGATCTCTGCCTCCTGAGTAGCTAGGATTATAGGCGTGAGCCACCTGTTCCCAGATTGTTTGTTTTTTCTTGGTGTTGGGGATTGAACCAGGGCTCATGCATGTTAAGTACGTAAGGTAGCACTGAACCTCTAACCCCTGCTGGTGTGGCTTGTTCATTTTCTTTTTTCTATTTTTTTTTTTTTTTTTTTTGCAGTGCTTGGAGCTTGAATCCAGACTCAAGTATGCTAGTCAAATGCTCTATGACCCAAAGCCTCATGGCTGGTTTTTGAGAAGGGTTTTGGATGTTTGAAGAGTTTGTATTCCAGATCTTTCCAAGATAGAGACATTGCAAGTAACAGATACTTCTTGAGTCAATTCATTTTGAATCCTAGTTTGTACCAACTAGAAATTCAGCAAATTTCTAAATGTGTATTAAGATTAAAATCCATTTAGATACTTTGTGCTTTTTCTGTTAGTGGCTTAAAGAAAACATCCTATACAAAAAACTTAAATTTTAATATTTGATTAGTATAATGAATTATGTGATCTTTATTTTTCAAATGATTTTTTTTCTTTTTTGGTGGTGCTGGGGATCAAACGAGAGCTTTAGCCTTAGCCTGGCTCAGAAGGCAAGCACAACTATCATTGAGAGCTGTACAAGCCCTAGTACAGTGTTCATAAGATGTTTACTAGTTGTTGTTTTTGTAACTGTTATATGAACACTTATTTTTCATCATCTAACAGATACCCTGGAGAATAGCTGTAATGACATAAAGAAAGCATTTTAACCCCTAAATATACTATGCAACTAAACAAAAGCTGAAAACTCTTAATCTTTTTTTTTTTCCCAGCAGTACTGGGATTCTGAATTCAGGGCCTGTGCTTCTAGGCAGGCGCTCTACTACTTGTGCCATGCCTTCAGCGCTTGTTTTTGTCTTTTGAAACAGGGTCTCACATTATAGCCCAAACCTGGCCTTGAACTCTAGTCTCCTGCCTCAGCCTTCCAAGTTCTGGATTATAGGTATGTACCACCATGCCTGGTCCTCCAGCCTTTTAGTCTTGAAGTGAAAGCAAAATATTTTTTGCAGAAGTAATTTGTTGTGCATTAGGGATCATAATATACATTCTCTTGTAGTTTACTTAGAATTGGTATTTTCAATATTTTATCACCAGGCAAACACAGAAACTTTACCAGTGTGTGGCCTTTTCTCTCTCTGATGGGATCTAGGGTTTGGACTCAGGGCCTTGCTTTTGCAAGGCAAGACTCTCTGCCACTTGAACCACACCCCTAGCCCTTTTTGCTTTTAGGTTACTTTTTAGATAGATTGGGCTTTTTTTGTCCCTCCCACTCCCACAGTCTGAGCTGCAAACCTATGCCTCTCATGTAGCTGGATAATATGCGTTGCCACCGTGCTGGCTTTCTTTTTTTGGTGATAACTGGGGTTTGAAGTCAAGGCCTTGTGTACTAGGCAGGTGCTTTACCACTTGGCCTCCCCTATGTGGCTTATATTGTTGAGATTTGGGTGGGAGGTGGGGTTCTCACTAGCTTTTTGCCCAGGCTGGCTAGAATCATGATCCTCTCTGCTTCCCGAGTTGCTGGGATTACAGACATGAACACTGTGCTTGGCCCTTTGTTACAGTTGTCATATATTATGTCTATATATATTCAAAATTCAATCAACCCACGAAGTGTTACAATTTTTTGCTGTCAGTAATGAGACATTTTAAAAGACCTCAGGAAGAATTTCTTCTGTTTACCCAGGTGTTAACCATTTCTGTTTTTTGTTCTGATATAGTTTTCAAACACTAAAAATACGCAATTTCTGCTCTTCGTGGCTTGTGAAAGCAGTCATTTAAATTATTCTTCCATAGGTCATTTCTTTTTATTGTTGTGCTGAGCGGGGCACATTGTAGCATTTACAAAGGTTCTACAATGTATCAAATACATAATACTTGAATTCACCCCCTCCACTGCTCTCTTTCATACCCTCCCCTAATTCCTGGAGCAGTTTCAGCAGGAATCATTTTGCATTTGCATACATGTGTATACATTATTGTACCATAGTCATCCTTCTACCCCTTCCTTACCACCTCCGCCTCCCCCCATACATTGTTTTTCTCTATCCTTGCTTTAAAGATTTTTGTCTTTAATTTTTAGCAATTTGGCTGAGTCTATCAAATTTTTTTTCAGATTTTTTTTGTAGTGCTAGAAATCAAACTCAGGGCCTTGCATATATTATTAGGCAAGTGGTGTACCAATGAACTATACCCCCAGCCTGAAAGTATTTTTAAAGAGAAGCTGATAATTTTTTTTTTTTTTGGTGGGACTGGGGTTTAAACTCAGGGCCTCACACTTGTAAAGTAAGTGCTCTACCACTTGAGCTACATCTCCAATCCATTTTGCTCTGGTTATTTTGGAGATGAGTTTTTGTAAACTATTTGCCAGGGCTGGCCTCGAACCAAGATCCTCCTGATCTCTGCTTCCTGAATAATTGCTAAGATTACAGGTGTGAGCCTCTGGCGGCTCTTTTCATTTCATTTCTCTTTTCTTTTTTCACAGGTTCTTGCTATGTAGCCCAGGATGGACTCAAACTCACTGATTCCCCTGCCTCAGCCTCCCAGGTGCTGTAATTATAATTGAATGCCACCATGCCCACATCTTGGTGGTTTTTTTTTCTGAGAGTTCTGCTATGTAGCCCAGACTGGTCTTGACTTCCCAGAATCAAATGATCCTCCAGCCTCAACTTCCTAAGTTTCTGGGACTACAGAATATGTACTTTAAAAAAAAGTTTATTTTTATTTACTTCACTGAAAAACTATTAGTGTTCACCATAGGTCTGTGTGAGAATAGATTATTTTGGTATTGTTAAAATCCAAGTGTTTTTGTCATTGGGTGGCATAAATGAAGCAATGGCTTGCTTGAGACTTTAAAACCCCCAAAGAATTCTGATCATTCCAAAGTAAAAACACACAAACACACAACAAAATACACATGGCCCCCTGAAATGTGTTTTGAGTATGGATAATTTCCTACTTCCCTGATTTTTTTCTGGGGACTTTTTTTTTTTTTTTTTTTGGTGGGCTGGAGTTTGAACTTAGGGCTTTTTAGTGATTCATGAATTAACTACATGAACTAAGTACCTACAAGTTACTTCCATTATAAAATTGGTTTTTTAAGAGTCCTGAAAGGATCTCATACCATGTTTGTGGAAAATAAAATGGAGTCATTAGAACTGGCTGGGTAGGTAGTGTTACTGAACGAGACCCATCTTGCCCACTGTGGACAAATTTTTTTGTTTTTGTTTTGTGTCTTCCTAGTAGTCTATTTTGGCCTTAAACTCACAACTCTCCTTCCTCAAATCTCTTGTGCAGGTATTACAGGCATCACTGATACTGGAAGGTTGTTCCCAAGTAAGTGTCTATGTCCTGGCAATATAGATGATTGAAGATACTGGACCAGGAGTTGAGTTAAAGCAAGTGTAAAGTTTATTAAAAAGATAGCAAAGCTCCTGATAAGTGAAAGAGCTAAGCCAAA